AATGAATGGATATTTGAGTCTTTTTTTTTTATCAAGAGCTGATTTATGGTACATTGATGGGAGATATTTGCGATGGTTATTGTGATAGACATACGCTAATGCTATATAATGGGAATACGTATTTGCTATTTTATTTATTTCCTTTTTGAGAACCTTAAATTGACGAAAACCAGTCATACTAATCAAAAAAGAAAAAGTTTACAAAGCACTCTAATTTTGCCAAGAAGGTTTAAACGCAACTTAAAACTGCACATTTAGCAAATGATAATGATTTATTATTTTGTGATACAGACATTTCGGTGCGACCACTAGGTTTCCTTTTTTTACACATCACGTGGCTGTGTAGATGGAATCATCAGTTAGCTGTTGTAAATACACGTGAGTATCAGTAGATATTCGATTCGCAGCATAGAATGTGGAAGTCGGCATGCTAGTATTTATTGGTGTTAGCAATGGCGTAGTATTAATAGCAATATAGCAGCAACGGCAGGAGCAATAACGTCGAGGTACGGGCTTTTGTTGTTGTTTAATGACAAACATATTGTTGTTTATTATCTTATATTCGCTATTTGTCGTATAAATTTGTCTTGTTCTTGATAGTGATTGTTACGTTTCTTCTGTATGCACACCCGCACAGCCAAGAAGGTAAGAATGCCGCATAGAATGTTTGTTTGAGTGACGCTTTTATCGAATGATTATGTGATGATGAATGACTCCAGTAACATCTACTCTAATATATATTGGTATTATATATTTGTACGAAATGCGTAGATCTAAAAATATGATGAATTGATGAGAATAACGAGTATGATTGGACAACAAACCAGGGTGAGGAGAATGAATAAACGATATAATGCAAAAGTAGTTAATAATGGTTACGATTAATAAGATGATAACAGAAGAGAAATACGCTTTGGAGCAGTTACGAGTTAGCCTTTGTTTGTCCATCATTTTTTTTCAATTATTAAAAAGTCATACTATAATTGTAATACTGGTTATTCAAAATGCTGACGTAATAGTGACTACGGATGTATTCGGAGCCCAGAATCTAGTTACTGCAATCATTTCAATCATGCAAATCCATCGTATCCCCGCCCCACACACGCAACACCATCAACTAATCAACTGCGTGTCCGCAAACTATATATCAATCATCTCAAAGGGAAAAATTTTTTATCTCATCCCTTCTCTCTCACTTGCCACAAACAGCCCGTGATTTACAAAAAAATATAATAAAAATCATAAGCAAAAATTTTTTCATTCTCTCTACCTCTGGTCGCCCCTCCCCCATCCTAACTGCGTAACGACACTATTCCTTCTCCCTTTACATTCCACACCCAAAAAAACTTTTGATTTTACATACACCCCATATATCGATATACTTTTTAACATTCTCGTACCCCAAAAATAATTACCATGGTTAGTCCAACAACTTCACAACCCGAGTCTCATGTCGCCCTCGCTCCAGTCGCCAACGTCGATCTGCCTAAACCCCCCGTGAAAACTACTGCTCCGGATCACCCGTCTTGTTCTTCTTCCTCTTCCTCTTCTTCCTCGACTGCCGCCGAAATTAATGGCCATGTCTCTGAGAATAAACTTGCTGCCGAAATAACCGAAAAAGAAACCGAAGCAGAGAACGTCACCAATGGGATCATCGCCGAAGAGAACGACAGCGACGAAAAGGATGATGATAGAAAAACCTGTGAGGATTATAGAGATGAAAGCGATACGAAAGAAGATACTGGTACTAACAGTGAGATTTCTCATAAAAACATCCTTATCGATAGTATTACTTCCAAAGATAACATTCCTTCCACAACCTCAAAGTCTGATTCCAAACTTTCATCACCCATTTCCTCCCCTACTTTCTCCTCCACTTCTTCTTCTTTTAATTCCTCATCCGATCAATCATCAACGACCCCTAACCCTACGTCGCCAAAAAACTTCACCTCAGCGCCTATTCCCACCGTTAATGTTTGGGCTATGCGCAAGGCTGCTATGAATGCGAAGGCAAAGAAAGAAGAGAAAGAGAAAGAAAAGGAAAAGGAGAAGGAACGAGAAGGAAAAGACAAAGAGGGAGATGGAGATCATAGAAAAGCGGGAGAGAATATAAGGAAAGATGGGGATAGAAATGGTAAAGAGAATGGAATAGTGAACGAGTTTGCTGATGGTAGGTTGAAGTTGGGTTGGAAGAAGATTATTGATGTGGATTATTTGGTCGTGGGGAAACAGAATAGCGATGAATGAGTTTGAAATGGGTTGACGGGAAGGTAATGAGTTGGCTTACGTTTCACATAAGCAAATAACGCTTATCGGCTATATGTCGTAGCGTTTTGTGTTTATATGGCATACAA